ACCTAAACAAATAAATCCATATAGAAAAAAAAAGAAGAAAATATCAATCACAAAAAGGCAAGATGGTGGTTATGTTTATAGAAGGCTGTGAAGGACGTAGAACTAATTCAAAGAGAATAGTTAGCAAACTATTGCAATAGCTCAAGTCAAGGCTATGGTAACCTGTACTGGGGTAATTGCAGTAGAGTAGGTGAATTTGAAATTACTGTAACTAAAAATACTATTATGGACCAAATGGTATACTATCAAAATTCATGTTAAAACCCTAACTAACCTTCACTGTGGCTGTAATTGGAAAAAGGAAATAATTAAGGTTATGTGAGGTCATGAGGGTGGGGCTCTGATCTATAGGACTGGAGTCCATAAGAAGAGACATTGGTGAGCTCAGTCCTTCCCCAAACCCCATTAAGGACAGATCATGTGAGGGCCACACTGGAAGGCAATCATCTGAGCTGGGTCTGGTCATGCACAACTGTTAACCCAGCTACACAGGAAGCTGAGGAAGGAGGACTGAAAGTTTGAAGCCAGCCTGGGTAATTTGGTTGGACCAACTCATAAAAAGGAAGGGAGGGAGTAAGTAAAGAAAAACAGCCATCTGCAAGCCAGGAAAAGAACCCTCACCAGCAATCAGCAACCAAACCTACTAGACTTGTTCTGGAATTCCAGCATCCAGAACTACGAAAAAATAAATTTGTTTAAGCCACCCAGTTTGTGGTATTTCACTGGGGCAACCTGGGCAGGCTAATATGTATTGTGGTACTAAGAAGTGGGCACTTCTGTAATAAATACCTAAAAATGAGAAAGTAGTTTTGGAACTGGGTAATGAAGTTGAAAAAGTTTGGATGCGAATGCTAGACTTGGATTGTCATGATAGGACTGTTGGTGGAAATATGGACCAACACAATTGGATGAAAGGTGAGAACTCAAAAAGAAGAGAGCTCCAGGGAAAGCCTCCATCTTACTACAGAAAACACAGAGCATGAACAGAATGCTCAAGGACATTATGGACATTAAAGGTCATTCTTGTGAGGTCTCAGACAGATCTGTTATTTTATTAATTAGAACAAATGTAATCCCTTGGTGTAAAATGAAAGAACTTGGCTGAATTGTGTTCTGGCGTTTTGTAGAAGGTAGAAATTGTGAGCAATGAAATGGAATAATTGAGATCTCTAGGAAAAGTATTGGTTTTTCTTTATAACTTAAAATGCTTAAAAAAATCTTTTTTTTTTATACAGATAGATTGAAAGACTTTTAAGCAAAAAGGAGCCACAGAGCCTTTCTTTCTCTCTGCCTACTCAGTTCTACTTTACAGTATACTTTCATTTTCACTTTCAATAAATCTATGCTCTGTCTGGCCTTGTTTTATTTTGTTTTTTTAAAAGGACAGGCTGGGGCTACAGCTCAATGGCAGAGCTCTTGCCTCATACATGTGAGGCACTGGGTTCATTCCTCAGCAGTGCACAAAAATACATAATAAAGGCATGCTGTCCATCTACAACCACCAAAAAAGATTTTTTTAAAAAAGGACCTATAATTTAATTTGGAAAATTCTCAGCCTATATATACTGCAGTAATAAAAATAAGAAAATGTTCTGAAAGGAACACTAAATATGACTGATAATTTTGCACCTGAGCAAAATCCAAGAATAAAAATGAGATTATACACCTTACAAACATTGTCAGCTAGACCTCACTCAATGAAACAGTAATAACAGAATAAAAGGTGTGGGGCTTTCGGGATTCCACAGGACAAGACAATAGAGCAATATGGCTATGAATCTGAGCTTTTCTCTTTTAAAAAAGTGAGGAACATCTCAAAGGTGATGGGCAAGGCTGCACTGCCACCCAGGGTTCCAGGAACAAGAGCATGCTGCCTGAATGGTCCTGGAGGATATAGCATCAAATCACAAGGACAATTCTTGAGACTTAAGGTTTAATGGGATTTGTCTTACTAGATTTTGAACTTGTATGAGGTCTGGCATCCCTTTCCTTTGACCTATTTCTCCCCTTTGGAATGGCTCTCTATCCTATGTCTGTCCCGCCATTGTATTTTGCAAATAACTTATCTGATTTCACAGATTCATAAACAGAGGAGGATTTTACCTCAGGATGATTATACTTGATTTAGATTTAGATGAGACATTCAAATAAGAAGACCATGGGAACTTCTGGATGGAATGAAAGCATTTGCATGAGAGAACATAAATTTTGAGAGGCCAGAAGGTTATGGACAGAATGCCAGTCACCTCCAAAATTCATATGTTGAAGCCCTAAGCCCCAATGTGGCTTTATTTGGAATAAGTAATTTGGATTAAATTAGGTCATAAGGGTGAGGCCCTGAATTGAGAAGACCAGTGTCCTTATTAACAGAGAATCCATCCATGAGTCAGCCTCCTTATATCAAAGAAAACATTCTGCATTTGGCTTTTTGGGATTGGCTAACTTCACTTAGCATTATCTTCTCCAATGCCATCCACTTACCTGCAAATGCCATAATTTTATTCCCTTTTATTGCTGAGTAAAATTCCATTGTGTATATATACCACGTTTTTTATTCATTCATCCACTGAAGGGCACCTAGGTTGGCTCCACAGTTTAGTTATTGTGAATTGTGCTGCTATAAACATTGATGTGGCTGTGTCCCTCTAGTACGCTGTTTTTAAGTCTTTTGGGTATAAACAGAGGAGAGGGATATCTGGGTCAAATGGTGGTTCTATTCCCAGATTACCAAGGAATCTCCATACTGCTTTCCATATTGGCTGCACCAATTTGCAGTGCTACCAGCAATGTATGAGTGTACCTTTTTCCCCACATCCTTGCCAACACTTATAGGGCAGAGGGGTGGGAGGGAAAGGGAGGGGGAAGAGGATTAGTAAGCATGGTGGAATGTGATAGACATCATCATCCAAAGTACATGTATGAAGACACGAATTGGTGTCAACATACTTTATATACAGAGATATGAAAAATTGTGCTGTATACATGTAATAAGAATTGTAATGTATTTGCAGTTGTTTATTTTTTAAAAAAAAATTGAAAAAAAAAACCCAGAGAATCCAAAGAGTTCTTTCTCTTTCTTTCTCTCTCTCTCTCTCTCTCTCTCTCTCTCTCTCTCTCTCTCTCTGGTTTTCCCTCAGCCTCATTACTTGCATGCACATTGAGAAAAGCCCATGTGAAGACATATTAAGAAAGTGGCTGGTAGAGTTCTCTTATCAGAAACCAATCCTGTTGGGCCTTGATCTGGGAAGTTCAGCCTCTAGAATTTGTAAGACAACAAATTTCTGGGCTATTTTGTTGGGAGCCTAAGCAGGCCAACATGCTTACAAAAAGTGAGAAGCATTAATGTATAATAAAGATAAATTCTTGTCATTAATAATAAAATATAACAAATTAATGTCTAAAACACACTACTGGTCTTATGATGGCAATTACTAAAATGGGAAACCTAAAACTGATTATTAGAAAAGATTGGGGTCTACAATGAAATTTTTACATATAATTTTTACTCTTATATAGTTTTTCTAAAACTGTGCATATTACTTCCATCAATCCTTTAAAGTTAAAATACCATACCTTCGGGCTGAGGTTGTGGCTCAGTGGTTGAGCGTTTGCCTAGCATGTGTGAAGCACTGGGTTTGAGCCTCAGCACCGCATATAAATAAATGAATAAAATAAAGGTCCATCAGTATCTCAAAAATATCTTTTAAAAAAAATACCATACCTTCATTTCCTAAATTTCAGTCATCCAAGTGTTTTTTAATTTTTGTTATATGTACTCTTGTTAATTTTCAACCAACTTATTTAAAATTAAATCATTTATTTTACTTGACTTTCAACTTTTACTGCTTACAATTATGTTTTTCTGAGACACATTAAAATATGTCTATTAAAAAATGTTTACCAAGCTGGATGTGGTGGTACACGCCTGTAATCCCAACAACTTGGGAGGCTGAGGCAGGAGCATTGCAAGTTTGAGACCAGTCTGGGCAATTTAGTGAGACCCTGTCTCAAAATTAAAAATATAAAAGGTTAGGGATGTTGCTCAGTGATAGAGCACACCTAGGTTCAATCTGAAATATTGCAAAAAAAAAATGTTTATCCATGTTAACCTAAAATTATCTCCCTGTTTCTGGAGTACAAAAGAGGCCATGGTTTGAGAAATAGTGCTAGATGCAAAATTTAATCATTTGATGTCTTAGAACCACATTAAACACATAAGAAAATAAATACCTATCTTTCATTATTTATGTATTTATTGTTGCTATTATGTCCAGGTTGGTTCTGAACTTCTAGACTCAAGGGATCCCCATCCCCCTGTCTCCTGAGTAGCTAGGACTACAGGCATGTATCACTGTGTCTAGCTCCTGTCTTTTTTTTGTTGTTTTTTGTTTTGTTTTCAATACATCCCAGTCCTTTCTAACATTTTTTGAGACAAGGTCTCACTAAGTTTCTAAGGCTGGCCTCAAACTTGCAATCCTCCTGCCTCAAACTCCCAAGTCACTGGGATTAGAGAATATACCACTGTGCTTAGCTCCTGCCTTGTTTTTTTATAATTAAATACCTCCACAAGTAATACCCCTGAAAAAAACATCTGAGTATTGTAATTTCCCATGTTAGATGACTAAATTGTACTAAATATAACTTGAAAATATTTCACATCATGAAAAGTTACATATTTTAAAACATTTAATATAAAAAATGCTTAATGTTCGTAAAAAATTTGAAAACTACTTTTGTCATATATGGTTTTAGATACATAAAATATAAAAGCTTTTTTGTGTGTATTAAGGATATACTAAGCTATATTCCCAGCCCTTTTTATTTTATGTCAGGATCTCACTGATTTGCTGAGGTCTTGCTAAATAGCTGAGGCTGGCTTCAAACTTAAAATCTTCCTGCCTTGGCTTCCAAAGTCCCTGGAATTATAGGCATGTTCCATTGCTCCTGGCAAGAAAAGGTATTTATAAAAGAAAATTTTGTAAATAATCAAATAGCCGAACTCATAGTGAAATAGAATATTTATTTGAATTTCTCTTGGTAGTAGCACTCAACAAAGAAAAAATAAACCAAGCTGTGACATTTTGTTTTAAATGCAGCCATTTTTTGGAAAATGAAACAGTTTTTGTGTTTAATGGCAATAAGTGGGACATCTATTTTAAAACTACCATTTAAGAAGTAGTACTTTAAGAATATATACTATGATTAACATGATGTGTTTTATGGAATAGATGCATATCTGAATGCCAATGTGAATATGGAAGAAATATATATGTGTTAAAAACCACACTGGAAAGCTAAAAGTTCTTTTTTACAAAAAGTAGTTTGAAATAAATAAGAACTTGCTAGTAAACCCCATAAACTTCCACACATGGGATTTAAAAAAAAGTCCCCACCTGCCCCCCCAACACAAAAGAAAAAACTTGGTCAATTTGAGTAGAGACATTACACAACCACTCATTTCTGTACAACATGGAGGCCTGGTTACACAGTCAATATTAACTTCCTAAAGTGCATCTTTTGAAGACTTGTCTAGTAAAATTGCAAAATCAAACATAAAACACTTAACACAGACATGCAATAACAAAGCTAAATCATTATAGTGCAAAGTTTTTAAAACTACTTTTAAAACTTTTGATTCACCAAAGAATAAAGACATCAAATAGAGTAGTGTTCTCATCCTCCAACAATATGCGTTATATGCTTTTGTTACTTGGCAAATCTTTTTGGAGTCAAATAAAAATAATGCAGTCTAAACAATATTTCTTCTGTTAATATAATACGATTCCTCAGGCAGAACAGTAAGATGCAGAGGAAGAGTTAGATTTTTGGAAGTTTTGGTGCATTAACCACAGGATTTGCCTCCTGCAAGTATCTCCTCCCTGCACTCTTGTAATCATAGGTGCAGCCGTGAGTTTCTGCATAGCGATGAGATGCACAGAAGTTGTTTCCACATCTAAAGCACAAAAAGAGTTTATGTGAATAGTCACATTTCTATGAAAGGCTCATCTCTTTGGGAGAGAGACAGATGCTTGACTTCAGGTATTCCAACAGGAGCCCTTTGGATCTCCTTAGCAATCTCAGTGCTGACATTTCCCTTCCACTTATAAGCACAGAGACCCCTCCCAAACAAAACAAGTTAATTGTCTATGAATGAAGTTTATAATAAAGAATCCACTATGGAACGAAATAGGGTGTATGCCTTTCTGGAGTAGTAAAATTTCAAAAGCTGATAAATATGTCCACCATATCTCTTATATTTAAACCTGGAAAGAACGCTAAATTTCTAAGAAATTTTATTTCATGAAAAAATTAGATTATATAAAAGATAACTATGCCATAAAAGGATTTTTAAAAAATGTTTCTAGGGCTGGGGCATAGCTCAGTGGTACAGCACTTATATAGCTTTGTGAGGCCCTGGGTTCAATCCCTAGTACCACAAAAAAAAATTAAAATAAATGCTTTGAGCAATAAGATAGGCTGTTTTCAGTTGGACCTGATACATTCTAAAAAGTAGCAATTATTTTCAATGCTTGGCCTAATCCTAAGGGCAGATAAAGATATCAATCAATGCTAATAAAAGACATAGTTGTGGGAAGAAAAAAATATATTATTAAAAGAACAGTGATCTGTTTTGAAATGAGTGAACCATATAATTGTTAAAATTCACAGTAAATTAAATTCAGTCCTTTTTTTGGCTATTTAAAATAGAATATTGGAGAAGGGGTTCTTGTAGGTAATAGTCAAACAAAAACCAAGTGTATTAACAAAGAACAAAGAAGGTCCATTCTGTCCTATTGGCTTATTGGGTAGTGGAAGATCTGCTTTTGCCTTTTGGAAATTCATTAACTATCTACTTGCTCTTTACTTCAGTCAATTAGGAATTCAACTGAAGGTTGCTACTTGAACATCAGCTTGATGTTATGAATGGCCAATTTAAATAATGTTTTATTTTGCATAATCCCCATGCTGGGTCACAACAGAGAAAGCATCTTAGCTTCTCCAGCTGGCCAACCTGCCTGCATTCGTAGCTAGTAGCCAGTCCAGTTTTCTTTCCACAAAGAAAACAATGCTTTGTTGTTTTTTTCTTTGTTTGAAGAGGGGCTTTCACAGGTGGGAGGTGATGGGTACATTCCCCTGTTTAGAGAAAGGACATCTTGATTAATATAGGCATTAAATTCTAAATGTGAATATCACTAAGCAAAACACAAGACACATTCCTGTAATGATAAACATCTATGATGTAAGAATTTAATTTGTATCATTTTCTTTTTTGCATAATAGGGATTGAATCCAGGGGTGCTCTACCACTGAGCTCTACCCATAGTCCTTTGCCAAAGTGCTAGGTTGGCCTCAAACTTGTGATCCTCCTGCCTTAGGCTCTTCAGTAGCTAGGATTATAGGCATGTGCTACTACACCCAGCTTTATACAATTTTTATATTGAAAATTATTTACAGAACCTACAAGTTGCAGGAGTAGTTTCCTAAATTTTTTTTAAGATGTGATAGGATTCTACTGATACTAAGACAATATTTTTTAAGACTTCTTGTATAAACCAACACTTTGCTGATTAGATCTGAGGATAATCAGCTTACATATAGTATACCAAACATTGAAGAGATCAAGAAAAGTATCTGGTTCAAAGTTGTCCTTGATGATTCCCCTGAGAACAATGTCTTTGCAAAGCAATCATCCTGCCAACATTGAGGTATATCAGAGGATCATGGGGCTTTTCTTTTAGTGATAAGCTACCACAGAAAGTAAATTCTCAACAATGAGCAACTTTCATTGTTTCAAATTTCATTCTTCCAAAATTTAATAATTTTAAAATTAAAAGAACATGTATTTTTCTCTGTTACTAAGTGCTTTAAAGTCAAAATCAGTTCACATATAAAAAAGCACTCTGAAAAATTTAAATGTTATAATGATATAAATGTTATAAATAGTGACTAACACAGTACACAGCTTGATCTCACAGTATTACTTTTTTAAAAAGTATAGTTTTACAGAAAAAATTATTAGGGGCTGGGGATTTATCTCAGTGGTAGAGCTTTTGCCTAGCATGTTCAAGGCCCCAGCACCAAAAATTTTAGTAAATTCTATACTATTGTAACTTGATTTTTTTTCTTTTTCTTCTTAAAAATAAGAGAATATCTCGCCAGGTGTGGTCACCTGCAATTCCAGTGATTCAGGAGGTTGAAGGAGAAGGATCTCAAGTTGGAGGCTGATGAATAAATTCTACCCATTTCAGGAGAGAAACATGATGGCAATAATGATGATTTTTCCCATTTTCATAACATGCACAAAGTCCTTACCCTTTGAATTTCTTTCAATGTGAACTCATAAGTCCTATGAAGAATTCTGTGACATCTGCTGTAATTTTGAAAAGATTCCCATAGCTTTTCATGAAGGAGGCCAGTTAAGACTTAGTAAGTCTTAAGACTTTGTCTCAAGAAAAAATAAAATAAAAACGGCTGAGGATATAGTTCAGTGGTAGAGCACCACTGGGTTCAATCCCTAGTACTAAATGATTGGTGATGATGATGATGATGATGGCATATTTCATGTGAATGAAATAAATTTGTTTGATTATTAACTTAAATGTCTTTAGAATTGACCAAAATCAACAAACCCTTTGGGAGAGGGTACTGGGATTGAACCCAGGGGCACTCGACCACTGAGCCACATCCCTATTTTGTATTTTATTTAAAGACAGGTCTTACTGAGTTGCTTAGTGCCTCATTTTGCTGAGGCTGGGTTGAACTTGTGATCCTCCTGCCTTAGCCTCCCAAGCCACTGGGATTACAGGTGTGAGCCCCTGTGCTCAGCCCAATTCTCTCTTTGTATTTATATTTTTAAGAGGTAAAAAGTACCCCATATCACCTTTGTGAAATGTTCCTGGTAATTCTAAGTGCACTGAGAAAAAAAGCTCTTATTGAATTGGTGCGTAGGAGCCATTAGGAGTCATTCAGTTACTTCTTTCAAGTTTTTTCCAGTTTTGTGCAAGAACTGGGAGTACATTTTACAGACTGATAGTAAAGCAGACTCAATTTTGTTGGGCTTGTATATTGAGCACCCAATCTGTATTGTGGCAAAAGATATAGCATCAATTAACTGTAAATCTGAATTTTTAATCTTTAAATAGAGTTTTCATAGTCTTTCATCTGCCTAATAAATATTAAACTCAGGCCTCTCATACTTTTTCATAGTAGTTGATTAGAACTTCACAGGTGCCAGAACCATTGACACTCTCCCACTTTTCTTTTCATTCCTCTGCTTGTTCTTACTATTTTTATTGGCCTTTGATAAGTGCCATCAAGCATTTGTGAGTCCCTATTATTTTTAACAAGTATGGACAGTAGCTTTGAGCTTATCTGATGAATTGGGATGTATCTCAGTGGTAAGAGGGTATACTTAGCATTCATAAGAAGACCAATGAAGAAACTTAGTAAGTCAATAAAGTAAAACTTACACCAAAAATTAGTCTCCAGATAACTCAGAATGATACAATTATTACTTAGGTGGGTTCAATTCTCAGCACCAAAATAAATAGATAGATAGATAAATAATAACTTGCACAGGACCCACAGGGACGGCATCTATACAAGATACCTAACAGAAGCACATTTATTTTCAACCACCTTTGAAGCTCAGGCTTAGGATATTCTTTCTAAAACAATGGTGGGTCAAAGAAAACTACTGATTATAAATTAGTTCGGTGCAATCACATTTTCATTTTTCTTTCTGTAGGAGATTCTTGAACTCAATATTTTCCAAATTTTTTCATTCAAGAACTATTGTGAATGTGCAGACATAAAGAACATATTAGTGGGCTGGGGTTGTGGCTCAGTGTTAGAGCGCTCACCTAGCATGCACAAGGCACTGGGTTCCATCCTCAGCACTACATAAAGTAAAATAAGATATTGTATCCACCTAAAACTTAAGAATAGATTTTTTTTTAAAAAAAGAACATATCAGTGACAGAATTAGGTGGCATAAAAACATCTGCCATCTCCTATGAAAACTGTTTCTATATATTCTTCTACCCAAAGACAACTATTTATTAGTCATCTACTCCATCACTAATTTTCCTAATATTCCTTTGTCTGGCAATGAAAGCCTTACATGTCCAATATGATGGTTTATAACTTTCCAGAGCCATTTCCTACTATTTACCATGTCATACCAACCCTGAATGATGTACTGGGTCCGTTCACATCCAAAGTCTTTTTCCAAAATTCTCTACATCACATGCCAACCTATTAAAATTCTACTTATCCTGTAAGACATCATCAATCCTCAACTCTTCTCTGAAGCTTCCTCACAAATGTGTATTACATGCATAAAGAAAAATTTCATAAAATAATGTTGATGTATAGAATAAAACTAAGGTTAAAAAAGATAGAGGCTTGGGGTAAAACTCAGTGGTAGAGCATTTGTCTAGCATGGTGGCTTTAATCCCAAGCACTGCCAAAGTAATTTTTTAAAAAGACAAAAATAATAGCAAATCAAAATAAAAATCTGTTGTGATTTTTTTTTGTGTGTGTGGCACTAGAGACCAAACCCAGGGCCTTGTACATTCAAAGCAAGCACTCTACCAACTGAGCTATATCCCCAGCCCTCAAAATAAAAATCTATAATAACATAATAGCCAAGAATTAAAAAGAAAGAAATGTAGCTCAGTGGTAAAGCACTTGCTTAGCAAGCATAAGGCTCTGGATTCGATGTCTAGTGCCACATTAGAAAATAAGAAAAAAGAAAAAATATTTCAAATACAAAGACCAAGTAAGGTAATTCTACAGAGCACCCGCTGATTTTGAAATTATGGAGATCTTTGGTGACCTCAGGATTAGCAATTCAGAAGATCAGCAAGAAGAGAAGAAAGCACTGAAACCTACATTAAGACGGATGGAGTAGATGAAAGATGCAAATTACTAAAAGGCTTTACTGTGAATTAGGACAGCACAGTATGTCAAGGAAAAACTATAACATTAAAAGTGGATATATCACAGAACTGGGTTGTGGCTCAGCAGTAGTGTGCTCGCCTAGCACGTAGGAGGCCCTGGGTTCGATCCTCAGCACCACATATAAATAAACAAAATAAAGGAATTATGTTCATCTACAACTAAAAAAAAAATTTTAAAAAGTGGATATATTACAGTAATCAAAACATTGTGGCACTGGCATATACATATATAGACCAATGGAAGAGAATAAAGACCTAAGAAATAAACCCTCATCTATGAGGTCAAATAACTTTCAACAAAGGTGCAAAGATCTGGCAAGATTTGGCACCTTTATTAAGGGAAGAGTAGTCTTTTCAATAAATGGTACTAGGAAAACTAGATGCCCGCATTATAACAAAATAAAGCTGGGCTATCATCTAATATCATATTCAAAAATCAACTTAAAATGGATCAAAGATCTAAATGTATGGCCTACAACTATAAAACATCTAGAAGAAAACAACATGAGAAAACTTTCATGATACTAGATATCTAGAATATGACACCAAAGACACGAGTGACAAAGGGGAAAATACACAAACTGGATTTCATGAAAATTAAAAACTTGTGCAACAAAAGACACTTTTTAAGAGAGTAAAAAGTTTAGGCATAGCAGCACTTACCTATAATCCTAGCAATTTAGGAGGCTGAAGCAAGAAGATTGCGAAGTTTAAGACCAGCCTCAGAAACTTAGTGAAACCTTAAGCAGCTTGGCAAGACCCTGTCTCAAAATGCAAAAATAAAATAAAAGGGTTGGGGATAAAACTCAGTGATAAAGTGCCCCTGGGTTCAATCTCCAGTGCCAGAAAAAAAAAGTAGAGAAAAAAAAAGTGGAGAAAAGTTTGCAAATAATTTCATGATAAAGGCTTAATTTCTAGAACACATAAATGACTTGTAAAATCCAATAATACAAAACAACCAGCCTGATTAAAAAATGTATAAAGGATAGGAATAGATATTTCTCTAAAGATATACTAATGGCCAGAAACACCTGAAATTTAGCCAATGAGGCAATCAACATCACTAATTAGAGAATTGATGATATCACTAATCATTACAGAAAAGTAAATCAAGCTAGGTACCCTGGCACATGCCTATAATCCCAGCAATTTGGGAGGCCAAGGCAAGGGGATCACAAGTTAAGACCAGTCTCAGCAACTTAGTGAGGCCCTAAGACACTTAGGAAGATCTCGTCTCAAAATTTTTAAAAATTATAAATGAATAAAAAATAAAGAAATGCAAATCAAAACCACATTACATATCACCTTACACTCATTAAAATGGCTGTTTGGAAAACAAAACCAGAAAACAAGTACAAACAAGGAGAACTGGAATCCTGTGCACTATTAGTGGGAAAATAATATGGTGATTCCTCAAAAAATTAAAAATAAATCAGGTGTGGTAGCACACACCTGTAATCCCAGTAACTCAAGAAGTTGAGACAGGAAGACTGCAAATTCAAGGCTGGCCCCAGCAACTTAGCAAGGCCCTGTGTTAAAATAAAAAACAAAAAGGGCTGGTAATTTAGCTCAGAGGTACTATGCCCTTGGTTCAATCCCCAGTACAAAAAAAAGAGAAAAATAAAGTACCATATGATCCAGCAGTTTCATTTCTGATATACACCCCAAGGAATTTAAAGTAGTATCTCAAGTTCGCAGCACTATTACTCACTCTAGATAAAATGTGGAATCAACACAGGTGTATTACTGACTGATGAATGGATAAGCAAACTGTGCTACATAAAACAATGGAATATATGCCTTAAAAAGGAAGAAAATGTTGACATGTGCTACAACACAGATAAACCTTGAAGACATTATGATAAGTGAAATAAGCCAGTCACAAAAAGACAAATACTATATACACTTATATGGTACTTAAGAGTGGTTGCTGAGGGAAGCAGGGAGGGAGAAAATAAGGACTTGGTGGTTCTTTTTTGTTTTTGTTTTGTTTTTGAGATGGGGTTTTCCTATATTGTGCCTATGCAAAGTTTCAGTTTTGTAAGATGAAAAGAGTTCTGGAGATAGATGGTGGTTATGGTTGCCCAATAATGGGAATATACTTAATGCAAAGAAACTGTATACTTAAATTATTAAAAAAGTAAAATTTGTGAAAAAAGTAAAATTACTACACAAAAAATTTGAAAAAGTAAGAAGATATATTAAGACTCCATAATATCAGCCCTTACACAGAAATGGAAAACAAATCCTAAGTATCTCTTAAAAACATAAAACTCACATGATAACTATAATATATAAAGGTGGCACATCTTGGATAATGAATTTCCCAACTCTGGTCTGGATATTAAAACAAAAGAAGATAGGAATAGCTTCCCTATCCTTGAAAATACTGACTGATTAGTGCAACTTTAAGGTGACAGCACTTACTGGTAGGAGGAAATACTAATGTTATAGTCACTCCTGCTACTATGTTTTAGACAGGGCTAGTCCTAGAGATTGCTCCTTTCTTTTTCTTTTTTAGTACTAGAGATTGAACCCAGGAGCACTTCACCACTAAGCTACATCCCAAAGTCCTTTTTTTTTTTAACTTTTTATTTTCAGACAGTGTCTTGCTAAGTTGTTGAGGCTGGCCTCAAACTTGTGAACCTCCTGCCTCAGCCTCCCAAGTCACTGGCATTACAGGTATATATGCCACTGAGCCCACCTATTTTTTTTCTTTTATCCAGAAATAACTATCAGTCCATCAAAAAGAGAGTCTTACCCTTGATACTGAAGCAATGATGTTAAAAACATCTTTCTAGAGTAATTCCTCAAAGCCCATTCAGTATCCCATCAGGACTCAAGAGTGGCCAGCCACTAGGGGATGGGAACTATATGTTAATTCTTCAATAATCTTGTTTTTTTCATATAGACCATATCTTTTCCCAGACAAAGGATGTCAATTTCAATTCTGTTTTATTCTTCAGTTCACATAATGAATTTCTGAACTGGAATAAAGTTTAGGGAGAGAGTTTACTCTGTACATACCATAGAAAATGTTCTTCCCATTTCTCTTTGAAAATTCAACATTATACATAGTAATGTGATTATTAGCTTTATATTATTTTCAAAATAATCTATAGCTTACCTACTCTTTTCCCTGCTGCTGCATTATTTCCATTCATTCCAATACCACGGGCAGACTACAATTAAAACACAAAAACACCTACAGAGGTGAGTCAATGGGGAATAGAAGAGATCACCAAACATGAAATACTTGCATTTTATTACTAAGATGCTATTGGGCTTCCATTGAAAATTATCTAATCTATCTTTGTTTAATTAACAAATTAACTCGAAAACTGCTTGTCACATTTAGTAATATGATTCTTATTATTATTTAGATTTGATGGCTCAGATAAGAGTTCCTACTTTGAGAAAAATATTAGTAAAAACATTCAGTATTTAGCAATATATAATAAACTGTTTATATGAACTTATTTTCAAATCACACTTCTCAATCTGGGGCTAATATTATTTGAAATTTTATCATAAAAATATTTTTTAAAATTTTTAAAGATTTTTTATAAACTAGGCAAATATTTTCAGAGAAACTTATGAAAAAAGTCCAAACTTAGACCCCTATTTTCTGTAAACAAAAATCAAACTTTAAATATGATGAATAACTTACATGGATAACTACCAGATTATGTTGAAATGAAAACACTTACTAGAAAAAAATCTGTAGGTTCTGACTGGGGAGAACTTTTCCTAAGGCTTTCTTCCTGAAAATGCTGAAGGTTTGTAGACAGACCAATTCCAGAGGGCCGGAGCCTGCCTGCCCCACGTGTGCTCTGTAAACTGTCTTTTCTTGCGCTCTGCGCCAGTGAAGCAAAAAAACCGACATTATTTACACAACCAACGGGCTCTTTGGAAGCCTTGTTGGCTATTTCTGTAATGTCCCGAGCCTCAACTTTGGAAATAATATCAGATCTTTTCCCAGGCGAATCAACTTTAATACCACGAAAGCGAGTAGTCCTAGAGAAGGAAGAATCTGCCATGGTTCGAACATCCAATGACCTGAGCGTGTTTTGTGAAGCAGAAGGGAGGTTCCCAGACTCCAAACATTTGGACTGTCTCTGTGGTTTCACCAGAGAATTACGCAGTGGCATTGGAGCAGAACAGCGAAGTGGTGACAACAGTCCATTCTTGTGAGGACTTAATTCGCGGTGGTTGAGAACTGCAGTGTCTACTGACTCACCACTCAACACTCGTGTAACGTGTTTCAGATGCTGCTCTGTGACTCTCAACCCTTTGTCATCATTAGTGAGTAAGAGCTCTGTGTTTGCCTTTCGAACGCCTTCTAAGCTACTGTTCTGTTCAGTAGCATTTCCTTCTGAAACCGAGGCAAATGGACCCACTTTAAGTAGAAGTGATTCTCCAGGTACACTCCTTTCTGAAGTTGGAAATAAGACACTATCATCTTTGTTATTAGAGGGTAAGTTCCCTGAAATGTGTTTTGTCCGCCTGGGCAGGGATGATCCAAGAACAGAACCAGCAAGCTCTCCACCACTTTCCAACTCCATATGGGGTACCTGAGGTATCAGTCTGCTGTTACTGCTAGGATGAGACAGAGTGTTACTCTCCCAGTTATTCTCCTCCTTAAGTGCTTCACCAGTGAGAGACGAAATAGGTCTATCTGCAGGGGGCTGAGTTGCCAAAGTTGCAGCTGCCTTCCTGGATGGTTCTGGTAGATATTCATTTCCAGGAGAAGATAAACAAGATTGCCCAATGTGTGGCAGGACTCTTAACAACCTGTGGCGTGCTGCTGCTGTGGAACTGCTAGAAGGTCGAGAAGCTATAGGTGGATGAGGTTTTACTTTGACAACTTTCTTAGGCTATAAGAAAAGAGTGAATATATAATTCCTTTACACAGATGAGCTGCCTCTGGTAGCTGCTTTTATCCTAGACTCATTCTCTGGATAGTATGCAACTCTACATCCACCAAACATACTCTTTAAAACTGAAGGTTATGAGCTGGGCACAGTGGTGCTTGCCTCTACTCCCAGCAACTTGGGAGGCTGAGGCAGAAAGATCACAAGTTAAAGGCCAGCCTTAGCAACTTAGCAAGACCTTATCTCAAAATAAAAAATAAAAAGGAATGAGGATGTACCTCGGTGGTAGAGCATCTACGAGCTCAATTGCTAGTACCAGAAAAAGAAATAAATACATAAATAAATTTTTTTTAAATGAAGATTATGATTCTAAGCTGTAGAGATTAATAGCAGTTGCCTAAATCTGAGTATCTTCATGCATTCTCTAAAATAAAATAAAGCAAAATAACAAAAAATCCACAACCAAACAGATGAATAATATAATCAAATAAAATCACCCATATCCCACCCTTCAGCAAACTGGGAGAGATTCAAGTAATATGAAGTTCAAAGAAGAATTAGGAAAAAACCTAAACCTAAAAGACTTATCTGCAAAACCTATGCCAGTGGTAGAGTGTCAAGAAAGTGTAGCTTCAAAAACTGAACCCATAAAAAAGAAAATATACTTGTTATAAAAATACTGAAAAAGGTCTAAGATCTAAATCTTGGATATCAAACATGAGATATATTATGCTTTGTATCTTTAATGTCCCTGAAGAGGTCATGTACTAGACAATGCAGGAATGTTTAGAGGTGAAATTAATAGACTATGAGAGCTGTATCCTCATCAGTGGATTAATCCATTTGAAGGATTAATAATATGCATGAACTGCTGGGTGTGGAAGCACACGCCTGTAGTCCCAGTGACTCAGGAGGCTGAGACAGGAAGATCACAAGTTCAAAGTCAGCCTCAGCAAAAAAGCGAGGCACTAAGCAACTCAGTGAGACCCTGTCTCTGAATAAAATACAAAATAGGGATGGGGGTGTGGCTCAGTAGTCAAGTACCCCTGAGTTCAATCCCTGGTACCCTCATAATAATAATAATAATATGCATGAACAACTGGGTGGTTAGGCAAGTAGGGTATAGCTGGAGGAGTTATATCACTAGGGGTGTGGTCTTGGCATATATCTGTCCCTGAACCCTTCCCCACACCCTCTGCTTCCCAGTATCCAGAAGCTGAGCAATTTTCTTCCATCATGCCCTTCTGTCATGATGTTCTGCCTCACCTTGGGCCCATAGTGATGGAGTGGGCCCACTCATGCATTGAACCTCTGAAACTATAAGCCTAAACTAAACACTTCCTCTTATAAGTTGTTCTTATCAGGTATTTTAGACACAGAGACAAAAAGCTGATTAACAGAGTCTACAAGGAAATCAAAAGGAAGCAACCTGAAATAATTTAGTACCCAAGGAGATAGTATTATTCATGGGAGGAAGGAATAAAGAAGAGTAAATCAGAAGGGCAAGGTACCTTTCAAGAATAAATGTAAAGAAGAAGCAAAAAGAGGAAAGCAAAGATCATAGAGAAACAAAAGTAAATCACAAATTATAATGCACAAATTTAAAAAAAATAAATGAATTCAAGGGACACTGGCAGAGGAAGTGAATTGGGGGATGGAGAAGGGGTGGAAAAGAGAAATCACTGGGAAATAAATTGGACCAAATTATGTTATATGCATGTATCAATATGCCACAATGAACCCCACGATCATATATAACTATAATGCACTAATAAAAACATTAAAAAGTGAATCACAAAAATCAGAACACACACTAAGAATTCCCTCAAAGAAAAGAGTGCCACTGATTAAAACAACTAAAAAATTAAACAGTTGTGTGGCACACGCCTGTAATCTCAGCAACTTAGGAGGCTGAGGTAAGAGGATAAAAAATTAGAGGATAGCCTCAGCAATTTAGTGAAACCTTATCTCAAAATTTAAAGAATAAAAAAGAACCAGTGATATAGCTCAGGGGTGGAGTGTCTCTGGGACTGAACCCAATCCCATTAAAAAAAGGAAAGAAAACAAAAAAACTTGAATACAATACAAAACTCTCACTTTAGTATATTAACCACAACTATTAATACTTACCAAATAAATAAAATTATGGGAAAAATCAGAAAAGAAAAAGAAAAGGGCACACCAAATCCATAAAAACTATAAAAATAAAACAGAAAAAAGTGAGAATTAGAATATTTCAACTACTTAAAATTTTCTCCCAACACAATGAAGTGAAAGACCACTGCATCACAACACTCCAAACTGAATCAGATAAGCTTAAGTTAGTATTTGCATGTATTTTTTAAAAAATTATATCAAGTGGCACATACCTATATTCTCACTTTACTTGGGAGGCTAAGGCAGAAGGATTACAAGTTTGAGACTAGCCTTGGCAATTTAGGGAGACTCTGTCTCAAAATAAAAAACACAAGGTTCATCTCTAGTACTATGGGGAAAAAAAGTCATACCAAACAGTAAATCTCAAAACTGAAGACACAATGAACAACAGAGTGATATAAATATCAGGCCTAGAAATAATCTCCAGAAAATGAAATCATGTTAAAATGAAGAGTAAATTATCAGTTACACAAGGAGACTAGATTCTACTGAATATTTAATAAAGAATATTGGGAAGGGGTCAGGGTTGTGGCTCAGTGGTAGAGTGCTTACCTAGCATGTGTGAGGCACTGGGTTCAAGCCTCAGTACCACATAACAATAAATAAATAAAATAAAGGTACTGTACCCATCTACAACTTAAAAAAATAGGAAAAAAAGAATAGTGGAAAAAGATATGAAAACAGGCAAGAAAATTAAAATAAGAATTTAAAATGAGAAAAAGTAGTTGAATAGAAGACAAAGACATTCCAATATGTGTATAAAGGAAGTCCCTAGAAAACATTTAAAAACTAATATATACATTATAAAAAATTGTCCTGAAATAAGACTTGAATCATTATGTTAAAAAAGACTTTATTTTGTTTAAACAAATAAAATAAAGATATTTTGTCCATCTACAACTAAAAAAATATTTTAAAAACTACTCAATGTACTGTGAAAATTGACCCAGAACAGTAAATTCTAAGACTATCCTAAATTAAGTCATTTACAAAGAAAATAAGTGGGATTGTCAACTGGATTTCTCAATGGCAATATAGGAAGTAAGACAAAAATGGAGCAAAATTTTACAGAAACGCCTGGGAAATCAAATCACATTTTACACTCAGTTAAAGGGTAAAGAAAAGGTTCCGAACATGCAAAAACTCAGTAATTTCTGTTCTTATAAACCTTTTTGAAGAATTTACTAACCAAAAAGTATAGAGAAACTTTAGTAAAAAAAAGATTGATAGTAAGCATGGTATATATGTCATTGAAACGAAAATATCAGTGGGTATAAGGAATGCACATTTGGAGAAAAAAGAAGTTTACTGTCACTTAATACACTGATGGTCATTAATAAGTAGGAGTTAAAAGATATTGATGGTATATGGTCCTGATATTAGGCAAGGAAAGTTTAAGGGTAAAGATGCTAAAGATATGACATAAAGAAAATATTTTATAACATTTTAGGATTTGCAGTACAATGAAAATATGCTACTAGTATTTATGTACCAAGTCACACAGCATCTATCTCCTTAAAACAAAAAACTATGGGAGATGAAAAGAGATATGCACAGAAAGCTTCTAATTATAGACTTTCATGTATCATTATTTTCATTCCAAAAGATTAAGTGGACAAGTTAAAAAAAAGAAAACAGCAGATCCAAACAACCTATTATTAAGGTTGATTTTATAGATATAAATACCAAACTTTTACACTTAAATTAGAAAATACCTTTGAAATACACATAGAATATATATGAAAAGTGATATTGAATCTCAATGAATAAAATTCTATTAAGTAGAAATGTTAACAATATTGTCCAATTTCCATGAAATAAAACTAGCAATCCATTAAATTATTTTTGTACTGACAAAAATTATATACTAACAAAAATCATAAATTTACTTTAAAAACAATTAAAGTACTGCAAATTGACATTGTATTACTATTATTAGTATTACTAGTATTTTGTAGTAATTAAAATCCTACAAGTTGACACGTTCCCACTGATGTGTTAACTGAGAAAAATATATCATCTTTGAAATATTTCTAGCAAAAATGTTTTAACCTGCATGATAAAACTATCAGACAAATCCATATTGAGGGATATTCTGTAAAATAATGGGCCTATACTCTTAAAATACCTGATATGAATGTCCAAATAAAGTTAAAAAATAATTGTTTAACCAAATTGTCTAAGCAAACATTACATCTAAATGCAATGCAGATTTATTTTATTTTATTTTATTTTTGAGATACAGTCATGCTGTTGCCCATACTAGCACTGCACTCTTAGACTGAAGCAATCTACCTGCCTTGGCCTCCCTAGTAGCTGGAACTAGAGACATGTGCCAGAGTACGTGGCTATGTGATTCTTGATTGAAAACAAAACAAAACAAAATGCTATCAAAGCATATTATTTAGATGTGGAAAATATGAATACAGATGACATAATGTGCATCAGTGACACATTTTATGAGCATGTTAATTGCATGGAAAGAGAAGGAGAAAGCCCTTATTCTTAGGAGATACATGGTAAATGAAATATTTCAAAAGTGTCATAATATCTACAATTAATTCCCAAACAAATCAGAGGAAAAAATTAGGGAGAAAAAGCAAATGTGAGAAGGCATTAATTAGTGAATCCAGGTAAAGTGTGTATGTGTGTGTGTGTGTGTGTGTGTTTGTGTGTTTCCAATGCTGCAGATGGAACCCAGGGCCTTGCACATGCCAGACATATGCTTTATCACTGAGCTACATCCCCAGCCTTGGTATAGTATATGTTGATCTTCACTGTAGTAGTCTTATTTCTGAGAAATTAAACATTTTTCAAAATTAAAAGAAATAAAGCAAATAAGTTTTCAGAAAAATGCTGAAAATTCATTGCCAGAAATCTTTAAAAAAAGAAATAATTCCATAAGAGGTAAAATAATTGAAGGAAATACATAACTACAGGAAAGAACAAGTGATAACAGAAAAGGTGAATATGAGCTGGGTGTGGTGGCGCACACCTGTAATCCAAGTGACTCAGGAGGTTGAGAAAGGAGGATCACAAGTTCAAAGCCAGCCTCAGCAACTTAGCGAGACCTTGTATCAAAATTAAAAATAAGAAGGGCTGGGGATGTATCTGAGTGGTAAAGCACCCCTGGATTCAATCCCTGGTCCCAAAAAAAGAAAAGAGAGAGAAAGCAAACAACACAGTGAATTCCCAAACCATTTACTATCCATAAGAACGGGAGTCTAACTAGAGTAAGATATATTCCATGCTTATGTAATCATATCAAAATTGATTCTGCTGTCATAGATAACTAAAAATAATAAACATAAAAGAAAAGGTGAATGTATAGGGAAATATAAATAACTGAAGAGAGCTGGGGTTGTGGCTCAGTGGCAGAGTGCTTGCCTACCACATGCGAGGCCCTGGGTTTGATCCTCAGCACCACATAAACAAAATTAAATAAAATGAAGGTATTGTGCCCAACTACAAATAAAAAATAAATATAATAAATAAATAACTGAATATTGGCAATATAAAACAACTAGAGGGGGCTGAGGATGTGGCTCAGTGGTAGAGTATTTGCGTGGCATGCATGAAGCCCTGGGTTCAATCCTCAGCACTGTGAAAAATACATAAATAAATAAATTGGGGGGGGGTGTTCAAAATACATGTAGACACTTAAATGCTTGGCCACAATGACATAAAAGTTGTTGGAAGTATAATGAAGTTGGTATTCTAGGATTTGGGCATTAACAAGAAAATAGAAGGAATCATTTTTATAAGACTGCAATAAATCAAAGATGTACAGTATATAATCTCTAAGTTAACCACTTAAAGGAACCAGCCTAAGAATATAAGACTAACAAAAAAGTATATAGATGAAAATTAAATAAAATTAATATTAAAAAGGAAGGGGGTTGTAGCTCAGTGGAAGAATGCTTACTCAGCACACGTAAGGCATTGGGTTCAATCCTCAGTACCACATAAAAATAAATAAATAAAATAAAGGTATTGTGTCCATCTACAACTAAAAAATATTTTTTTAAAAGGAGAGGAGGGAGACAAAATGAAACAAAACGGGTAGTAAAATAGAAAACAAATAGATGAAAAATCTGAATACAATTAGTAATTTCACTAAATGTAAATAAAAAATAAATGTCAGTTTAGATTTTTAAAAAATGAGGTAAACCATGTGCTGCTTAAATTATAACAGAGATTGAAAATAATAGAATGGAAAAGATACCATACATACCCTGCAGAAAAACAAAAAGAAATAGGTTAATCAAAGCAGATATTTTAAGAGTGCTACTTAAGATAAGGAAAAACATTTTATAATAATAAGTGTTCAATCAAAAGGAAGATATCACAATCGAGAATCTATACTAAACCCAATGACAGAACTTCACAATATAAAATGCAAAAATAAAGAACTGAAAGGAAAAAATAAATCCACAACTATAGAAGAAGAGTTTAACCTAACTCTCTTAATGATTGATAGAAAACAGAATATCCGCTTCAAAAACAAAAAATAAAGACAAACCAGAAAGGATACAGAAACAAAATCTGAACAACACAATTAACAAAATTGATAAATTAACAAACTGATAGACATTTTACATATCAGAATATATTTTACAATAAATATCAATATATATCAGAATTTATTTATATAACATCAGAATATACAGTTTTTTCAAGGGTAAAAGTAGGATTGCCAATATGCTTATATTCATAAACCTCAACTACCTTCAAAAGATTAAAATCCTTTCAGTATGTTTTCTCGTAAATTAAGCTATAAATCACTATTAAAAAGGTATACAGGGCTGGGGATATAGATCAGTTGGGAGAGTGCTTGCTTCACATGCACAAGGCCCTGGGTTTAATCCCCAGCACCACAAAATAATAATTATTATTATTATTATTGTTGTTATTATTATTAATATTATTGTATACAAAATTGCAACATGTTTGCAAACTAGAGCCTACTTCTATGTAAACCATGGGGGGGGGAACCCCAATATCAAAGAGGTCTACATATTTAATGTAAAATCTATCAAAATCCCAAAAGCAAAAATAAAATGTAAACCTTATCAAAATCCCAAAAGTTTGGCTGGGTGGGGTGGTGCATGTCTGTAATCCCAGCTGCTTGGGAGGAGGAGGCAGGAGGATTGCGAGTTCAAAGTCAGCCTCAGCAATTTAGCAAGGCACTAAGCAACTCAGTGAGACCCTGTTTCTAAATAAAATACAAAATAGGGCTAGGATGAGGCTCGGTGATCGAGTGCCCCTGAGTTCAATTCCAGTTCAATCCCCCCACCCCTCAAAATCCCAAAAGTTCAAAAAATAAATAAAGTTTAAACATAAATAGAAAAAAAAACCCTAAAAGTAACAGTATTGCCACTGTGAAAAAGTTTTGTTAAGTTTTTAAAAATTAAAAATAGAATTAATGTATTACCCAACAATTTCAACTCTGGTATATAGTTAAAAGGAGTGAAAGCAAGTTCTCAAAGAGATATTTTGTACTACCATGTTCATAGCATCATTATTCACAGTGGCTAAAATATGGAAGCAACCCAAGTGACTACTGATGGATAAATAAATAAATAAATGAAATGCTAAAGATGCAATGGAATATTATTCAATCTTTAAAATGAAGGAAATTCTGACACATTCTATGACATGAATAAACCTCAGAGCATTATACTAAATGAAGTAAGCCAGTCACAAAAAGACAAATGCTGCACGATTTCACCTTATATGAAGAATCAAATTCCTAGATATAGAAAATGGAATGGTGGTTGTCAAGAGGTTGGGGAGGATGGGTACTAGGGAAGTTGGGATTTTGTTTTTTTTATTTTGGAACTGAGGACTGAACCCAGGGACACTTAACCACTGAGCCACATCCCCAACCATTTTTATTTATTTTAATTTTGAGACAGAGTCTCGCTAAGTTGCTTAGGGCCTTGCCAAATTGCTGAGGCTGGCTTTGAACTTGTAATCCTCCTGCCTTAGCCTCCTGAGTTGCTGTGCCACCACACCTGGATGGGGAGTTGTTTTTTAATGAGTACAGAGTTTCAGTTTTGTAAGATAAAGTTCTCAAGACTGGTTGCACAAAAATGTGAAAGTACTTTACATACTGAATGGTGAGTACAACTTGAAGATGGTTAAGATGGAAAATTTTATCTTCACAATTAAGAATAAAAAAATTTAAAGTTCATGACAGAATCTAGGTGATAATAAATTTAAGTGCTTGGTGTTAATTTCAATTTAGGTGTTTGTTGGAAAAGGAAAAACACAGACTAATTTTTCTCATGAAGAAAAATCTTAAATAAAACATTAGCAAATGAAATCTAAAGACATAAAAAAGGAAGTAAAAATAACATAAAAAGAGAACAAATCACAACCAAGAGTGGTTCATTCCAAGAATGCAAGAATTGTTCTACATTTTTAAAATCAATTTGCCACATTATCCGAATATTTTATTCAGGGTACAATATTTTAAAACTTCCCTTTGGATTTCTTCTTTGACCTATTAATTATTTAGAAATGTGTTATTTTCAAACATCGGAAGACTTTCCAGATACTTTGTATTTAACTATATTCTCTTATAAATTAGAGCATTTATTTTGGTATTATTTGAATATTTTAAAATTTATTGGGACTTCTTTCATGGCACACAATGTGGTTTCTTTTAGTAGATGCTCTTCTCACTTCCCCCTGAATATCAGAAAAATGCAAAGTGAAATCAGTGTGATTTCACTATATACCAACCAGAATGGCAAAAATAAAAACAGGAGAACCATTCAAGATACTGGTTAAGAACATGAAAAAAAAAAAAAATGCAACTCTCATTCGCTGTTGGACAGATATAAACTAGTTTAATCACTATGGAAAACTAATAAAATTTACAATAAAACTAGAATAGTAGCTATTATCCATAATAGGTAAATATTTACACAGCATTTTAAAAAGAATCCAAGATTAAATTTAAACTATCTTTTATTATCCTTCAAGTTCTAGAGAGATGAATTGTTTTGTTGTTTTGTTTTGTTTTGGTACTGTACTGGGATTGAATTCAGGACCCTGCACAAGTTAGGCAAGCACTCTGTCACTGAGCTATATCCCCAGAACTTTTTAAAATTTTTCACTCGAGCTCCTGCTTCGTCTTAGTGTGCGTTAATCAGCCCATGTTGCTGTACGCAATTGACAAGGGCTTTGCTAGTACTGCTGAGTCTTCCCTCCTGACAGGGGAATCCACAGGAGGCAGGAGCAGAGGCTCCCCCAAGACCTTCAGCCCACATACTGCTCCACTGCTCCTTCTTAACTGAGAAGCACTGTTTGAAGGTGAGGTATGTGTTGGTGTCTGTGTTTGTGGAGGGAGGAGAGGGATTACTTGGATACATGATTTGCCACTAATAAAGCTATTAGAACTAGAAATAGAAGGGAAAGAGGGGGAATGTGAAATTCTGGAACTAACACCTACAATCCTGCAGCAAGAAACTGGAAAATACTCCTCACAGAGGTTTTTGTATATCAGCAAAGGCAAACATTAACCAAGGACTCAGAATAATGTGTGAGTCGAGCTTGTGGGCAGATTCAAGGGGCTTCGAGAGCTTAGAGATAGGGAATTTAATTTAGAGCCCATGAGGGACTTTGCATTTAAGTTGTAAAAAATGAGTAGAAGCTGGCTGGGGAATCTGGTGTGAGAAAGCAGCCAAGGGGGCAAAAGCCTAGGTGATGGACCCCCAAGTCATGAGAGCTTGGAGTGAACAAAACTCAATGTTAAATGCAACATCTGGGGGATTAAGCTTTCCAAATATGAACTTTGGAAGGACACAAATGTTCAGTCCATTGTACCTCTCTCATTCAAAAAATTGCTATGGAGGGCTGGGGATGTGGCTCAAGCGGTAGCGTGCTCGCCTGGCATGCGTGCGGCCTGGGTTCGATCCTCAGCACCACATACAAAGATGTTGTATCTGCAGAAAACTAAAAAATAAATATTAAAAAAAAATTTAAAAAAATTGCTATGGAAAAGGGGGGGAAAAGCATTATTCAGAATAAACAGCATGCCAATAAATTCCTATGTTGATACCGTTTCCCTGGCATTTATGTATTAGGAGATGAGGGCTTTGGAAGGAGAGTAGGTCAAGGGAGTGGAGCAATGAATGAAATTAATACTTCTAAAAGAGGACCCTTGCCCTCCTACTATGTGAGGACACAAGAAGAAGGTATGATCTGTGAGCCAGTAAGTCCCTGTCACTATGCCTTGTTATGGACTTTCTGGACTTGCGTACTGTGAAAAATAAATTTTTGTTGTTTATAAAAAAAAAAATTATTTTGAGACAGGGTCTTGCTATGTTGCCCAGGATGGCCTCAAACTTGTGTAGCCTCCAGTATAGCTGGGTATAAAGGTATGTACCACTTGCTTGGCCTAGAGTTATGAAATTTAAAAATCACAAATTAATATAACTCATATTAAGTTGCCATATAATCTTTCCCCATGTGTTACTGGCCCTTTCATGTATCAATAAATAACAGAGGCCAGAATCTTGAAATGAATAATATTTTATAAATTTTTGTTCACAATTACCAACAGACCTCATTGTTGAACCCTGAAAGGGTAAGCTAGAAAAAATCCTGGCCAAGTGCTGACAGCATCACCTTTTTGCTGAGATTCATGTTCTCCATCTTAGCCTTAAGCAGCTTCATTTTATTCATAGTTATTGAATTTTCAATGATCTGTTGCCCAGAAGGAGAAGGCTCAACTTCTTCATTCTCATCTGTATACAAATTATACACTGAACCACCTCTGCAAAGAAAAATAACAACTTCTTGAAATTTGCTTGATTCTGGCTCAAAAATTAAAACTCTTCTATGTGCAATAGCAAATATACATGCTACTACCTATAAAACACTAAATCCTTTTTGTCAATGTAAATGCAAGGAAAATATATTTCAAAAAAATGTTTTTCTCAGGAGAACAAATAAATGGGGATAAATACTGCATCATGAAAATCTAGGACATTTCTAGAACAACCAGTGCAACTAAAAATCTAGTATACCTGAGCTTCTCTTAATTCAACATTCAACAAATTATTGGTAAAAATCATTGGACACCTGTTAACAGCATTCCCAAAGGAGCAAAATCCATTTCCACAAGAATGCTCTGATTTCATTTTATTAGCCAAGGCTGACAGATGTGCAGCCTACACCACAGTCTGATCAGATTTCCATGAACTAGAATAAAAAAGAAATTGGTACAGAAGTACAGATTTTTCTTTATCCTGAAAAGATTCTCACTAAAAAGAAAAAAAAGAACTCATACATAGGTATAATCAGAACATTTTCTGTTCCTAAATAACAAATAATAAAAAAATTTTAAAAAGGGCTAACAACTTTTTTTCTGTTTGGAAACATAATTACGAAGAATAGCATAGACTTTAACATAGAAAAAAGATACCTCTCCAAGTCAAGCCATGACACACATTATTAAACATGTTAAACTTTCAATTACTGATCAACCATCATGATATATTTATTTACACTTTAAAGAAATATTTGGAGTCTCTTTTTTTTCTCAGCATACCTGGAGAATGATTAAAACTTCAGAGCAAATTAAGAATACATATTAGTCACTGTGGCCCATTTACTTATATGAATACCAAAATGTACAGCCATGCTACAGAAGTATGAGGATTAACATATTTTCTGTTCTATCTTCTTGTAACAAATGGAAACAATTTAGGATAGGCTTAATAACCTTAATATAGCAACTAGCCTCCACAACCCATTTGATCTGCAGTTCTTGATCTGTGACTATCACTGCTACCCATAGCTAGCTGATTGTCACCTATGTATACTAATGGACAAAAATCACAGTGCTAAAGTAGTCACATTGCCTGCCATTTGCTGAACACTTACTGTTCAGGCACTTCCTACACAATATTCCTAATCTTTGCAAAACTACATAAGGTAGACATTATATCCTATTTTATAAAATGACAAGATTACAGTTAAGGGAGGTAAGTGATTTGGTTTAAGACGAGGAAACTGGTGAGCATAAAATCAAATGCCCCATCTGTCTTGTTCCAAAGCTGATTCTTCTTACTTAGAGAAGTAAGTTGCTTCCCTAGGCACCAAATGACAGATCTTACTGCATCAACCTTGTGCACTCAAATGAGTCACAGAATGTATAGTGTGTGATAGCTTTTATCTTGAGGTCAACGCACCTGAAAAGGAGGGATATGAGAGTATTTTTGTCAGTTCACCTTGAGGAATTAGAAAAAGTAACTCAAGTTTACTCTACTCTTGGTTACCTTGCAATATTTTAAATTAAATTTAATTTAAATATTCCTTTGTTATCTTATAACATTTTAACTTTACCCTTATCAAATACTCAAAGAAATTTTTGACTCAGTCTTACTGTCATGAAAAGATCTACTCTCCCGTGGAATATGTGTTTAAAAGAATAATCAAGGTATTTTATTGGATTCATTTTAGAATATAAAAACACCTTAAGTTCACCTTTTTCCCCCAAGAATTACATTACTATATTTTCTCTCAAAAAGCACAGTGTCATAAGATCAGTTAGAAGCTAGTCACAAATTATAACTACATGGCAAAATGTAACTAGATTAGAATAACATAATAATTTATAAACTTATTTCAAAAATATCCTTATAAATTTAAATATTCCAACATTTTCTTGAATTCCTACATATTTTTGAGTACTATACAAGACTTTCTTTAAATAATTTTAAATGATTAAAGAATAAGAAATGGGAAAATGTGATATCTATTTTAACATAAATATTGTTCATCTCAAAGCCAATAATAGTTAATTGAGTTTTACAAAGAAGTTACCATTTAAGTTTGAAATGGCTCTTTATATTTCTTTAAAAAAAAAAACAGAACAAAACAAAAAAATGGCAAGGTAGAATGACTGGAATGAACCAAAGAACACCCAGTTCTACCTGTTTCTTCTTAGAGCAGGTTATCAGGGGCCTATCACCTATTATGGGTGCTCATGAACAAAAGATGGTTTTCACATTTTTTGTGTGTGTGGTGCTGGGGATTAAACTCAGGGACTTGTGCATGCAAGGCAAGCACTCTACCAACTGAGCTATATCCCCAGCTCAGTTTTCACACATTTAAATAGTTGAAAATAATAATGGTGTTTCATAACACACGAAAACTGTTCAAAATTCAACTCTGTCTTCATAAACGTAGTTTTAGTGGAACAAAGCCATAGTCATTTGATTGTGTATCAGAGGTGAGTATCTGTTACAGAAAATGCATGTAGTTCTCACCACTCTGAAGCTTGGCAAACCACAAATCACCATGACACAGTCATAATTCAATCACATTTTGAGTACTATGTGTACTGTAACTTTTTTATATATACTAATATATCAAAACAAGAAAAGTGGATTTTAAATGCTGCAATTTTAAGGCATAGAGGAGATTATGTTATCAGTTTTATGGCAAAGCCTTTTTTTATGATGAAGTGACACTATAGCTTTGCTAAAGGACACAGCATATATTAGAGACATTACCACAGTAAGCACTCATTGCAATATTCCCAACTTGCAGGGAAGCAACAGTAAAATAAATTAGAAAATTTACAATGAAATCTCATTGCAGTATAACTTCTTCATAAAATAAAAGATGAAAATGAGATTACAACCAACAAAGTGTTTATTTGCAAGCCAAGCAAGAAAAGGTATTTATCAATAGTGAATTAATTCAACCATGTTTGATCACAGCAGCTGAAGAAATGTGTACAGAGAAAATAAACTTCTTTAAAGACTACTTTTCTAGGAAGAACAATTTATTGAAGATTTGACATTAGAGGCAATGACAACACTCAATTTAAAATTAAAGCAAATTATTTTGAGCCATTTTCCTTGGCTTCAGATAAATCTGCATTTGTTACCAATATTGCTCACGTGTTATTGTTAACTAAGGGTATCAATACCAAAGTATAAAGTGACTGAAGAGTTAGCCTCTCTGAATAGACTGCATGAAACTATTACAGGTGAGAATATTTCCAAAGAAGTTGTTAAAACACTAAAGAAATATATCTTGAAGTGAAATCTACCATATGTGTAAAGCTGAAAAAAAGTTTAAAAGTTAAAAGGTGGGCAAATAATAAAGTTACTAAATATTAACTTTACTATTCATCAGTATGTATTCTGCAATAAATATCTGAATCTACCATATATTATTAAACTAGTAGGGCCTGTGGTAAACTTCACTTGTTCCACGGACTTAACTCATGATCAATTTGATGCCTTAGCAGTGGCAAAGTTTTATTGTGGGGTTTGTTGTTTTATTTTCCAGGGATTAAACCCAGGCCCTAAAGCATGCTAGGTGCGTGCTCTACCACTATTATGGCTCCAAACCTTAACACTATTTCTTAAGCTCTTGGATTTTTGAATGAGAAGAACCATCTTCAGCCAATAATATCAGACAATGAATGCCTTAGAAATTAGTTTTTGTTGTAGAATTGATAATATTTCCTAACAAATTCAACCTAAAATGACAAGACAAAACAATGCTTACATGTGAAACTTACACTGCAGTAATGGCATTTCAACAACTAGTGTTGCTTGAATCACATGTAATGACATGTTGCAATATTTGTGTGGGAATAGCACTCTCACAAATTTATAGCAGATATATTTTCTGAGCTCAAACTCTAGATCTTGATAAGTTTTTACACCATGATACAAGTTTAAAGGCAATCTCCCATATTTCAAAATCCACTTAAATGTGCAATGGAGCACTTCTACTTATCTTCAATTGAAAGTGATTAATCTGTGATACCATGAAATGTTAAAGGAAAACAACAAAGACAAAACTAACAGAACTTTATGAATGCTTTCCAAATGGTGAATATGCTCAATTAAAATCATATGCCGGGGCTGGGGTTGTGGCTCAGTGGTAGAGCACTTGCCTTGCACATGTGAGGCACTGGGTTCGATCCTCAGTACCACATATAAATAAATAAAGGTATTGTGTTCCATCTACAACTAAACTGCAACTAAAAAAAATTTAAATCATATGTTCATGGGCTGATATCAATAGTTGGCAGTATTTACCTGTGTGAAAAAACATTCAAAGATAAAATCATAAAATCTCATTACAGGTCAACATTAAGAGGTGACCTTTAGCAACTGGTTTTACAAATTTGATAGGCAACACTAACATTCAACCTCAATCAAGTAAAATACTCTCATAAAAATAATTCCTTTGGGGCTGGGGATGTGGCTCAAGCGGTAGTGCGCTCGCCTGGCATGCGTGCGGCCCAGATTCGATCCTCAGCACCACATACAAACTAAACTAAAAAATAAATATTAAAATTCTCTCCCTCTCTCTCTCTCTCTCTCTCTCTCTCAAAAAAATAATTCCTTCTCATAAGTAGACCTATATTATGTATTACTAAAAAAATGTAGTCATTTATTGTTTTTTCTTAAACTTGGTTTTGAACCCAGGGGCACTTTAGTGACCTACATTCCCACCCCTTTTTAAATTTTAAAACAGGGTCTCTCTAAGATGTTGAGGCTGGCCTCAAACTTTCAATCATTCTGTCTCAGCTTCCTGAGTTGCTGGGATTAAAGGTGTGGGCCACCATGCCTAGCACAATTATTATTCTTATCTTTTGAATTTTGCCAGTAAAGGTTTTGTGGATATTTGTTTCCTCTCTTGTTACAAAACTACTTACATAATATCTTTTATTCGGGCCAGGGTTGTGGCTCAGTGATAGAGCACTTGCCTAGCATGCGTGAGGCACTGGGTTTGATCCCCAGTACCACATAAAAATAAAAACAAATAAAGTTATTGTGTCCATTTACAACTGAAAAAATATTTTTCAAAATAATATCTTTTATCTTATCTCTTGGTTCAACAATCCCCAGTTACTATCAGGGGACCTTTACAGAAAAAGTTTGTGGCCCCTGTTGTAGAGTAATAAAGCCCCTTCTAGAATAGACAGGATAAATGTCCTTCATGTATGACCAGATAGTTTTCTACTACCTTTCCTATCTACTCCTTTTCTTTCTTTGTCCAATTGTGCTAGATGAGGAAAAAGGAAGGAAAAAAATAAAACGTAACAGAGAATTATCTTGAGAGGGACAATTATATGATTTTAATCATATTTGATGAAGATTTTAGGCTAAAAGTTGGCCAAGGAAAATTTGAAGCAAGAAGAGAAAATGACATTTTATGCAAAGGGGAAAAGGTGTATGAAAACATGGTATAATGAAGAGGCCTGGAAAATAGGATGTCAGGCTCTCCAGGGCCTCATGTTAGGCTGAGGAGCCAGATTTCCTTCTTCAGGAGAGTCAAAAGAGGGTGAACTAAGGAAGGAAATTCAAACAATCATGAGCCAGCATGTGGAGAAATAGGTGTGAAGGAATTCTACTATGGCCCAGGACAGTTGCCCTCAATTGCAATACCTTATCTAATCTAGCCTATATGTGGATGCCATGGTTTACAGTGCTAACCAGACCATGATATATTAGAGGACAGTCAACACCTATTGTTCTCTGTAGACAGACAGACACACACACACACACACACACACACACACACAATCCTTCTTGCACATGTGCTCTGCGGTAGGCAGAATCCTAAAGGAATCTCTATGGTTCCCAGTCCTGGTGTTCCTACCCTGTACGGTGCACCGTTTAGGGTGGGCATGACCTATGACTAAATTCTAGCCAACTGATTATGACACAGGTAAAGAGAGTCTGTAGATGTAATATAGGCTCTAAATCAGTTCATATCGAGTTAATCAAATGGGATCTGAAGATAGCTGCTAGTCAAGGACCAGCAAAAACTATGGCCCTCAGTCATGTAACTGAAAGGAAATAATTATGTCAGCAATGTGAATGAGTTGATAGTAGATTCCCTTCCCCACCCAAGTCTGCAGATTAGAATGCACACTTGCTGATACCTTGTGTACATCCCATAAAATACCAATAAAATACTCTCAGCAGAGTACCAGCTTTATTGTGCCTCGACTTCCAACCTCCAGATACTGTTCTCCAAAATACAAGTTGTTTTTTTCTTTTAATAGTTTTACCACTAGTTTTCTCCTCTTCCTCTTCCTCCTTTTTTTTGGGGGGGGGGGGGGTGGGTAAGATGTACTTCAGTTACCTATAAAACCTTTTTTTTTTGTCTGCTTGGCAAACATCTATTCCTTGTTATATTCTCTTCCTTTCAGAGGTAATCCCTAACCCTCCATGTTTCAGATAAAATGAAGGCCCTTTCATCTGTTTTCCCAGAATATGAACATTATATTACCAACACCATTAATAGTAGATTGTATGCTCAATGAAGGTAGGTATAATCATCTTTATACAGTAGGACCTAAGGTAGTGACTAGCTATAAAATTTCAGTAATATTTAATGACTTAAAGTGAAAGGAGATAAAGAATCAGAGTAAGTTAGAATGTGCAGAAAATTAGAAGTTATTTTGTCCAATTTCCCGATTTTTCTATTGCCTAGCTAAATATCTGCAGAGGTTGCCTTTCTGATTTTAGAAATAGTGTTTCTCTCCCTTTTACAGAGTAGGAAAATAAAAACAAAGAAGGAAAGATATTTATCCATCTTCAAGTAGTGAAGTTAAATTTTTAAAAAATATACCAACTTCGGGTTTAACACTTTCTACAGGGTTACATAATAACACATTATCACAAGACTATAACCTAGTAGGCATCTCAAAATTTCATAAAGTAACAGAAACAAATTTTTTAATGAAAAAATTCTACTATGTAAAGAAACTTTTAGAAATAACTTTTTAAGTATCAATTATATGAAGGATAATTTCAGAATTATATGTTAGGGGGAGGAGCGAGGAAGGTGCATGACATTTAGTCAATTTTGTTGTAATACCAAGAATATCTTGACAACATAAGATAAACATAAAGGTTTATGGAGTATAACATCTGATATTGTCCTTTTCTAAGTGAGATATGCAAATGAAAACCTATTTACCTTAAAGATTCAGATAATGGTGTTAAAGTGCCATCTCCCCTATCTACTACACGAAAGAAATTCAATTGATCTCCTTCTCGGTATACCAAATATGTAACTTGTTTGTTGCAGGAGGTCTTCTCCCAGACCTCATCTCGACTGGAATCCATGTACTCAGCCATCTCCCTAAGTGGATCTTCCACAGGAACTACAAATGGAAAAATTGACAAAAAAGCTTTCAATTTACATCAACTTTTGTGCGTCTCAATATAGTGACAGGATATAATGTGCTGAATTTGAACAACCACCTTGTGCATATAATATGTACATGACATTATTTGGATAAATATTTGGTGTTCCTACATTAATACAGCATTCTTGTGCTGTATTAATATGAAAGAAACAAAACACATCACTATGCTTCTATGTCCAAAGACAGGGTTTAACTAAAACAATAGTTTTGTATGTGTGCGTGTGTGTGTGTGTGTGTGTGCAAGCTATTGGAGTCCACATATTTGCTGATTCTACGACATCATTATCTATGGTTATTTTCACTGTAAACCTTCTCTTCCTATATTTTTAAATATTGATTCCAACAATTAATAATTAAAAAGCAACAATAAACTTACTTTAGGCTAAAAAATAAAAATGCACACATATTCACAATTGGAAGACATATCTAAAAAATGAGAAGCACACAGAGTTCTTCCTTTTATATAATGGCTGAGTTATTCTTAGATTTGTTTCTTTTTTGGTAGTGTTGAAGATTGAACCCAGAGCTTTATACATGCTAGGCAAACACTCAAGTATACAATATAACCCAGAACAAGAGGGGTCATTTACTATACTAAACTGAAATGTGTGAATGGTCAATATGTTGTTTCTGAAAAAGATCCTCCCAGGACTCCAATTGTCCTGAAAGGTATCCACGTGTCCAGATGTGTCCAATCAGAGCACACAGAAGCCACTCTGAAGGCCCCCCAAATGGCAGATTCTAGTGGTCCACAGTTGTCCTCAAGTTAGAATGACAATTGCAGCCATCATTACAACCTGATCATCTCCACAATGTCCATTGATTTTTACCCCTGGTGGTGGGAATAGGTATCAAGAGATTTCAGGTTCTTAGGATGAATGTTCCAGTAGACTTGGGAGTCTGTTTGAGGGGAAAAAAATGTGCCATGTCATGCTGCAAGACTATTTGTTCTCTCCTAAAAGAGGCAACAATTTTGTAAGCTTCACAACTTTTATTTACTAACAGAATCACAATGTTATACTACTTTTTAAAAAGATGTGAGCCATGTGTGATGTCACATGCCTGTAATCCCAGCAATTTGAGATGCTGAGGTAGGAGGATTAAAAATTTGAGGCCAGCAACCTCAGCAACTTAGCAAAACCCTCAGCAACTTAGTGAGATCCTGTCTCAAAATTTAAAAAGGGCTGGGGACATAGTTTAGTGGTAATGTTTCCCTGGGTTCAATCCCCAGTACTAAATAAACAAGTGAAACCAGTAAAAAAAAAAAGTTAAACTCTGAATGTAATTAGGTAAAACATCAAAGATGTTCCCATATCCTAAATTCATATCATTACTAATAAAACATAAAAAGTATAGAAATATAATAAGATTTAGCTTTTTTATAAAATAATTATTTAAATATTTTGATTAGCTCTTTGACAGACACAAAGTATATAAATATTTAAATTTTTTTTCAAATAAGTCCTTGCTCTTTTTAAGTTTAGTAATGTTTTACATTACATTACTAACAAGTAAAAATTAAGATATCAATATTTTAGGCTTGCTACTGCTGTTACTATAGCCACATTGAAAACCTTTCCTGAATAAGTAACAGCGTGTGTGTGTGTGTATGTATGTATGTATGTATGTGTATATATATATATATATATATATATATATATATATATATATACTTGTCTTTTCACAAAAGAAAAGGCATTTGGATTTTATCAGCTATAAAGTAATACATATGGACTTAGGGTACAATTTAATTCTAGAAAGGAAGTATTTGTACAATGCTAAATACTATTGGAATTCAAATGATAAAGGTACTTATTTGAAATAGCAAGACTAAATTAGCTTTAAAATATGATTTCCTGTACATCCACAACACTGGGATCCTAACTGGAATAAAATACACTCCATGTTTATAAGAATATATCAAAATTGACGCCACTATCATGTATAACTAAAAAGAACAAACTAAAAAATTCAATAAAATATGATTTCTTGAATACATTATGGAGAAGTCCTAAATCTGGGTTGAGTTGTCTTTTTCACAAATTTTTTAATGACACATGGTAGATAATATCAAGCATTTAATTTTTATAAAAGTTAATTCAATAAAGGTAAAATTATTAAAAACTTAATTTTAAATATTAAAACATAAGTTCAGTGCATATTTTTAAATCACAAACATGGCACAGAAAGTTTAAGGGAAAATTATTAGGAAGACTTTATTACAAAGCTTCAATTATTAGAGGCACAGTGGGCAAAGGTTTCTGGGCCTGTTTGTGAGCAGAGCTTCTTTTTTGTCTGACATTTCAGAGAGGTTCCAGGAACAGTCTCTGCTCTTTGAGCTTCACAATGCCGCCCAAGGATGATAGAAAGAAGATGCTGGAAAGTTGACCAAGAATGACAAGGACCCAGTGAACAAATCTGAAGGCAAGGTCAAAAAAGAAGAAGTGGTCCAAAGGCAAAGTTTCAGTAAAGCTCAACAATCTAATCTTGTTGGACAAAGCTACTCATGACAAACTCTGCTTGGAAGTTTCCAACTACAAGCTTACATCCCCAGCTGTGGTCTCAGAGACTGAAGATTTGAGATTCCCTGGCCAGGGAAACCCTCAGGACCTCCTCAGTAAAAGACTTATCAAACTGGTTTCAAAGCACAGAGCTCAAGTAATTTACACCAGAAATACCAAAGGTGGAGATGCCCAGCTGCTAGTAAAGATGCATGAACAGGTCCAACCAACTGTACATTTGGAAAAATAAAACTTTCTAAAAGCATTCAACTACTAAAAGCTAGTGATTGATGCCTTTCATTTCTGCTTTAAAAAATCTACATATTTTACATATAAATATCTTATATATGAAATATAAATATTATATAAACATATATACAAAACACTATATGTATTACTAACACTCATTTTCATACACATATAAAATAATTTTAGTCCCAGTAAGAAAAAGTAAATACTTTTGTATTAAGTAAATACTTTTGATTAAATACTTTGGTTTAAAGACACATAAATAGACAACTTTTAAAAGTACATTAACAAGGGGCTGGGGCTGTAGCTCAGTAGTAGAGTGCTTGCCTAGCATGCATGAGGTACTGGGTTTGATCCTCAGCACCACATAAAAATAAAGAAATAAAATAAAGGCATTCTGTCCATCTACAACTACAAAATTTTAAAAAAATACATTAACAATGGAATTCACATGCCATTAAACACTATTTAATTGTATCTTAACATAACGGCACAGTAAACACTTAGGGTTCTTGTACTATCCTAAGAATTGTTACTATAAACATTGCTGAAATCACTTAAAACTATTTTGTAACTCTAATTCTTAGAAAGTTCCTAATGTCAAGAGTGCTAATTAACCATTCCTAAAGTTACTACTTTTGTTTTCTCTAACCTAAGCAGAACAGAACACCTTTCACAAAACCTCTCGAGGTAGGTAAGAAAAGGGTGGTAATGATATTTGTATTTTTTGTTGTTCTTGTTTGTTTGTTTCCTTAAAAGTACTGGGGATTGAACCCAGGGTCTTATGAATGCTAGGCAAAGTACTCTACCACTGAGCTACATCCCCAGCCCAATAATTCTATTTTTTAACCAAAGTTATGAAGCTGGACAGTATATAATTTGATATGTGGAAGTAATCTTTCAGTAGGATTAATACTTAACCTTAATTTATCTGGTTTGTAAAGAACCAAACAAAGAAAAGCCTTCCTCAAAATGAGGTGCACAAAAGCAGGAGGAGCAGGAGTGTTCTGAATAGCTGCCTCAACTTGGTAGGGATGTGACCTACCTGAATCAAGAGTCAATGTGAACACTCCCAGCTCTTCCTGTGCCTAGAATCTTCTTGTTAATCAAGTTTCTATCCATATCATCTTTTCCAAGGGCTCTTCCTATAATCCTACTTCCACAGACATTATCATATTATCTTGTTTCCTGAAAAGCACTTACAACCACTTGAAATTATACCAATTCTTATACATTTATTTGTGGCAGTGTCATAAAGCATGGACTCTGTCCCCCATATTTACTGCATTTGGGACATGGCACTAAATATCACAGATGCTCACTATATATTTGTTGAATGAATGAATGGTCTCTAGAGACCAACCACATTCTGAGAAAAGATTCAACCAAGGCCAGAAAAATATTCACAAAACCCAGCTGCATCAAAAACTTTGTAATTTTCCATAGCAATCATTAGCCCAGAAATTAAAAACTCAGTAGATAAAATAAAAGCAAGACTAGTATGAACCTAAAGGCAATGATAGCATAATATTTAGACTATATCACTCCATTTCTTTTTCCTATATTGTGAGATTTATTTTTAAATCGTCTTGGATTGAATCAGGAGCATTAGACTTTCTAGAATATATTTCAGAGTTCCAAGCTCTATATACTTAGCTTATAAAGAATAATGCCTAAAGAAACAAATGCGATTCTTCTAAGACCTAATAGCATAAAGGGAACTTGACTAAAAATGTTGACTTGAAATTTCTTATTGTTAAATTGCTTGAAGAATATGATTGTTGAATTGCTATAATATATGCCTACCTTTTCTAGTATTTATAGGTCCACCACGCATAGCCAATACCAGCTTCAAGGTACAACCTTCTGAAATGCTGTGAATAGTTAACACAAAAATAAACTATAATCATCAAAATACTCAGTTTAAATGTAACATTAACTATGTGCTGGTTTATTAGCCACAGTACCTACTCTATAAAATATAAAAAGATACAACAGTATTATTAAATATAAAATGTATTTGCTTGTATAAATAACAAAAATGGCCAGGCGCGGTGGCACAAACCTATACTCCCAGCAGTTCGGGAGGCTGAGGCAGAAGAATTGTAAGTTCAAAGCCAGCCTCAGCAAAAGGGAGGCACTAAGCAACTCAGTAAGACTCTATCTCTAAATAAAATATAAAATAGGCCCAGTGTCTGAGTGCCCAGTACTCCCCTCCAAAAAATGTTTATAAGTTTTCATAAGCCTTAAATATGATGTGAAATTCAAAGTACTGGAAGGGAGTACTGGAAGTCAGTGTATCATGTAGCTTAGTCTCTTCATGCCACATGTAAGGAGAAAGAGGCCCAGTTAAGAGGCTTGCCCAAGACCCGAAGTATTGGAAAATGGCAACTCTATTCAGTATGGAAAATAGCAAATCTACTAGGTCTCCTAACTCCCAGTACTCTTCCAGTACTCTTACACACCACCTCTCATTCTTTTGCTTCTTTTCTTAAGAGTAATGAATTATGTGAGAGGAAAGAGGAAAAGACACAAAAAGCCAAAAAGTATGTTTGTAATCACTAGTGCACACAGGGTCGCTTAGTAACAGAAGCAGGGCTTAATGAAAAAATATTTGGGGGAGAGCAATTCTCATATTCCTAGAATTTGTGAAAATGGAAGGAAGAGGAAACATGGCCAGATGAGAATGGGTCAATATTCAAAGAAAGAATCAAAGAAGGCAAGATGTATAAAGGTGGGAGATAAACAGCTTAACATGAAAATGAAAAGGCAAAACACAAGTATCAAAGGACAAAGATGGGGTAACAACCCAACATATCTATAGTTCATAATTTTATAATGAAATCCAGAAATCAGAGCTATTCAGAAGAGAGATAATCCAAGGATTCAGAAGAAAAACACTGGTGTACAGAGTCATAAAACTGAATGCCTATGAATCAGCTAATACGCAGTTACACTCACTTGTAATCATTCAAGCAATAATCATCTTCAAGTTCCATGTTATTCCAAATTAAGTGCTGCTGACAGATGGGAATACCTTAGGGGAAGGTGATAATAAAGAGTGTTAACAATTCAATAGCATCTCCAAATGAGTATGATACAAAGCTATTCCATTAAAGAATTAAGTATACTAATAAATACATTTCTAAATTGAATGTTAGCTGCTTAAAGTTTACAGAATCATTGGTAAAAATTATGGTTAAAGTATTAAAGTTAGATGAAATCTAACTTATTCACTTGAGAAGAGTATGTTTCAGTTCACTTTCTGGCCCTAAAACAATGTATAAAATCAGGGAGCCCTAAGAAAGGCAAGATAGCATGAGTCATTCCTCAAACAGTTTAAGGACTAAAAGATTGTTTTAATGCTGCAAAAGACAGTATTCATTTGGTTATATTCAGTGTTGAAAGTATCTTATGGTTTGGGTTTGGGATGTAGCTCAGTGGCAGGGCACCTGGCTATTAAGCCTCTGGGTTCCATCCCTTGTACCACCAAAAGAAAAAAAAACTTAAATTATGGGCAATTTTTAATGTTGAAAATGATAGTCCATAAGACCTTTTCTTTACATTTCTTATGAGGTAAAAAGAATATTAAGGCAGCCAGGCATTGATGCATGCCTGCAATTCCAGTGACTTGAGAGGCTGAGGCAGGAAGGTTTAAAAGGTCAAAGCCAACCTCAGTAACTTAGCAAGGCCCTTAGAAACTTAGTGAGACCCTGTCTCTAAATAAAAAATAAAAAGGGCTGGAATGTGGCTCAGTGGTTAAGTATGGTTAAGCGCTCAATCCCTGGTATCAAAAAAAAAAAAAAAAAAAGAATATTAAGGCAGATTATATGCTTGAGCATAATAATTCTAATTATCATTTTAATAAATTCCACATTTAAATGTCCTAAGCAAGTTCAAATTATATTATTCAAGGAATGACCATTATCTAATTAATAGAACACTTAATAATACCAATATTGATGAAAATCTTTTTCAAATATCTCACATACTTGTCTTCTCAAGTTGCTTTTGCTTATGATACTACAAAATAAGTAGACCAGAAATAATGTGTTAGCTTTTACTACTATAAGCCAGGTACTATTTTATGCACTTGACCTATGTTATCATAACTTAACTGTACCAGCAAGCTTGTGAAGTGGGCACCAATAGACACCCCATTTCACAGGAGATAACACCCAAGAAAAGAGAATTAATTGGGACACTGAGAGTATGTGGGGGATCAGAGGTGTGAAGGGTGCCTAAAGAGACTGCACAATCTTTATGCTCACTCATCTCTAAGAAATCAGCCTCCACAAAACAAAAGTAGCTGTCTGAGGAATATGCAAAAGTGTTGGCTGTCAGGAGATGTGAATATCAATTAAGTGCTCAGCAAAAAGAAAATGCCAGTAAAAAAAAAGGTTTCTAAGCTAGAAATTATTTCACTCTGAAAGTATTATCATATTAAATATTTAATGCACCAAGATCATCTTTTCAATCAAATTTCCAGAATTTCATTAGCATAAGTAGACAAAGCAATTTGGGCAAGTAACACTATGTTTACATTCAATCAACATTTGGAACATTATTTTGTAACTGAAACTTAGAGCTGGATTGAAGAGACAGTTGACACTGCTTAAATACTACTTAACTACTTTTAATAGACATAGCCATCCTTTAGCAGACAATATAATGTCCATGATTGAGCTGGGTTCCTGACTGCTAGTTGTTGGATGACTGAGTAAAAGTCATCAAACTCTATGAGTTTCAGCTTCTTTTCTTGCACACTGAAAAAGACTGGTGTTCCTCTACCATTAGCACTTTCTGAATCTAAAATTTATAAAACAAACCAATTCTGCTCTAAGACAGGGTTGCTGAATTTTTATTTTCTAAATCTGGCAACCTCAACAATTATTACAAGCCTAAGTCCAGAAGAATTTATTCTATAAAACAAATTTCCAGGGCTAGGATTGTGGCTCAGCAGTAAAGAGCTCCTTAGCATGGGCGGGACCTGGGTTTGATTCTCAGCACCACATAAAAATAAAGGCATTGTGTTGTGTCCATCTACCAAAAAAAAAAAATCTCTCTCTTAAAAAAAAAAAAAAAATTCCCTGTCCCCCAAATAGACTGCATGCATACACATTTTTTAATTTATTTGCTTCTTTTTGTGTGTATGTGTGTGCACTCTTGGGAATAGAACCCAGATCCTTGCACATGTAAAGAAGCACTTTGCCATTCAACAGTGTTTTAAAAGTTTCTTTCAAATGAAAATATCAATCATAAAAATAACCACTTGTGAAAAAAACAGACAATACAAAAAATTATAATGGAAAAAAAACATGTGCAATCCTAAATCTAGTAAAATCTATTTTTAATAGAATGGGATTGTACTTCGTAAAACTGTTTAGTAAACTTTTTTCATTTAATATATTGTATACATTTTTTCATGTCAGCAAAAATATACATTTTTTAAAATAACTAAATGGGACTCCAAGTTATATTTCTGCCTTACATGATTTACCCAATCATTCTACTAAGAGATTATTTTCATCTATCCAATTTTTCACTATTATAAACAAATTTATGATTGCAAAAGTTGTCAGGATAAAAATAAAGTTGCTTGTATCAACCCTAACAACAATTAAAAAAAAAGTTAAATAAAAGCAGGAGGTAATGAAGTAAGGGTTCTCACACAATTGCCTGATGATAACTACTGCAAAAGATTGCCAGAATCACAGTCTTGCATAAAGGCCACCACAACCTTATACAAAAAATACTTCTGTAAGAACTTCTGCCAAGCAATTTCCTTGTTTAACCTATGACCAGCACCAACTTTATTAGAAATCTTTATGGCTAAGAACTATGATTGCAAACTATCTTATGTAATCCTTATTTCTGAAGTTTTAGAAACTTCCCCTTGTCTCAACCTCTTTGAATACACTCGTAGTTTAGTATGACATGCATATTTCTATTCTATTCCCAAATAAATTTAACTAATCTTTAGAAAATCTCCCTAATTCCTTTTTAGGTTTACATGATTAAGCAACATGTGAATATGCATGCATCTGGGAATAAATACATAAGTTTGTGTGTGTGTGTGTGTGTGTGTGTGTGTACACATATAATTTACTGCTCAGGCTGGCATAACAAAACACCACAGACCAGGTGATTTAAACAGAAATTTATTTCCCACAGCTCTGGAGACCAGACGCCCCAGATCAAGGTGCAAGGCAGGTTTCACTCTGAGGATTCTTTTATTGGCATGAAGGCAGCTGCCATCTCATTATGCACTCTGGTGACTTTCTTTGTGTGACAGCAGAGAGATAGGGAGCTCTCTGGTGCCTCTTCTTATAAAGACACTAATCCCACTGTTTTAGTCAGCTTTTTCACTTCTGTGACCAAAAGACCTGACAAGAACAATTAGAGGAGGAAAAGTTTATTTGGGGGCTCATGGTTTCAGAGGTTTCAGTCCATAGATGGCTGACTCCATTCCTCAGGGCCTGAGATGAGGCAGAACATCATGGCAGAAGAATGTGGTGGCAGAAAGTAGCTCAAAGCAATGCACCAAAAAGCAGAGAGAGAGCGAGCTCTGCTCAATAAAAACAAAATATATACCCCCCCAAAAAAAAAAAAAAAAAAATATATATATATATATATATATATATATATATATCCCAAAGGCACATCCCTAGGGACCCACCTCCTTCATCAACACCCTATCTGCCTCAGTTTCTACTCAGTTAATACTGATCAGAAGATTAATTCACTGATTTAATTAAGGCTTTCATAATCCAATTACTTCATCTCTAAGCCTTTTTGCATTGTCCTACACATGTGGTTTTGGGGAACATATATTTAAACCATAACAATCATCATGAGGGCACAATGCTTATGACCTCATTGTAACCCTATTTACCTCGGAAAGGCCCCAATTGAGGGTTAAGACCTCAACCTAAGAATTTGGTGTGTGTGTTGGGGGGACATAAATATTCAGTCATAACTGAGTATGTTTGTATATATATTGTAATGACTCAAAGGTGTTTCTTGTGTCTTTTTAAAGAATTTTTCAGACAAATGCATGTGAGAACATGTTTATATCTGCATCTAGAATAAACCATAGAAGCAGAATCAATAGAACTTCTGGGTAATTAAAGAAAATGGGACCACAGATCCCATCTGTCAATGTTTTCTTCCAAACAAGAGAATATTATGAAGGGATATAAATCTATATAGAAACCCTGTCATAAAACATTATAACTTCAAGATAGAGAATGTACAAATTTCAAGATAATTGTAAATAAAAAGGTCAATCACCCCATCTCAGTGCAGAATACCTCATGCTCCCACCCTTACAAGGTTAATTGAGAAAAACCATAGGTTAGACAGAGAAAGAAGTTAGTATTAGTCCTAAACTTGATTTAAAAAAAAAAAAAAGATAGGAGCTTACACCGAGCACGGAGCGGCCGAGTTCCGGCTCCCGGAACCGTCCCGGAACCGCCCTGGCTCAGGGCTGCGGAGCCCGCGGAGGCTGCTTCTTGGACCCTGCTACTATCAGAGCATACACCAAGCACTAAGCGGCCGAATTCCGGCTCCCGGAACTGAGCCCGCGGGGGCTGCTTCTTGGAGCTTACACTTATAGGAGCTTACACCGAGCACGGAGCGGCCGAGTTCCGGCTCCCGGAACTTCCCTGGACCGGGGCTAGGAGCCCGCGGAAACTGTGTCTCTGTCCGGGTCCTGCTGAGGGCAGGTCAGGACTCACCCATTGCTTGGGTTGCCAGGCAAGGGGAACGAAATGCTGCCATTCGCATAGGATACCAACATGGCAGAGATCTGATGTCAGCAGAAAGCGGTGGAGGAGAGATCTTCATCAATACCAGCGGTGACATAAGCAGTTGGTCTCCTGGTAAGGGGGGTGAGGCTCAGTCACCCGAGTCTCCTCAATTTGTCCTCGAGCCAGAGGGAAGGAGCCGGGCCGCCGCCAGCCCCCGGAGCAGGCCCAGCAGCTCGCCAGCGTGGTGACCGCGTGACCCCAATTGGAGAGGGGGCGGAGCGGAGCC